GTTAGAATGTTCAAAGCCCTTAGAAATGGCTCACGTTAGTAAACACAAACACAGTTGTCACTGTTCTTGTTATTGTTTGGGGGATAAGAAGAAAGATAATTTAATTCCTTATATGTGTGCAACAAACTTCTTTTAAAGCAACTCTCTATGCCTCTGAGAGTTCTCATGAAAGCAGGGCACACGATATAGAAAGGAAAGCACCAGGCCTTTCACTGCATTTTAACACCAGGAAATAGAAAATCTCTGCAAACCTCATTCAAATAGTTTTAATTACCTAATTTAGAAATTTAAAAACAAATCTTCACACAGTGTGCACTGGTTGCTTATTTTGTTTTAGTGATAAAAGAATATCTCTGTTCTTTTATCTCCTTTCTTTTAGCAAGGAGAATAAATTGCTATCCTAACAGTAGGCATCAGAATCCCTCTTAGGGAACTGTTCTGATAAACTAGTTGCAGGTGGAAACTCAAATCCTTAGAGATGAGCCAGCGTGAAATGAGGCTGTGGTGGGGGAAGTTCACTCTCCAGCAGCAAAAATAGAAAAGAGCTCGATGAGAAGGAAGAGGAGAGAGAAGGTCCTGCAGCGCTTAGAACAGAACAAAACAAAACAACTTTTAAGAAAAAGAGGCTCTAATGCTAAATTTTAACATTTAGGTGGGATTTCACAGTTTGGTCATTTGTCTTGGAATGTAACACCCTGATATTCACGCACACACAAACATCCCCTTCCAAGTTTCAATAAAGTCAAAGCAACTGGTTGAGAGTTTTCTTATTTACTTCAATTTTTGGTTTTCTAATGTAAATCAAAGAAAGAGGCAAATTTCACACAACCTTGACATGGTTTGGACAGAAGCAACTATGAAGTAAGAAAGCTATCAGTCCAGAAGAAGCAGTCATCTCCAGGGGTGAATATCACTGAAACACAAGCCTGTCTCCCTCCTCCCCCATTCCCAGATCCCTCCCCACTGGGAATATTTCAGAAATTCTGTAGTGTGGTCTCCTGCCTCTGGTCACTGCCTTCCTCTCCTGCCTCCTTCCTTCTTGCTCTGGAATACACCTGCCAGGTCTTGAACTGCTTGTGTCATCTATTGCCCAACCAGTGCCCATCATATTGTTAGCACAAAAGGATACTAATTCTCAGTGTTAGGCTTGCTGCAGGTTATTATTAACTCTTTGAAATGTCTTCTTCACACACACCCAGAGCCCTTGTGCTTCAGCTGTGCTCCGCCTCTGTGGCCCTTCCTGACTCCTCATCTCTCAGAGCTCTGAACACTGACCCAGTCCCCCCAGTCCCTGTCCTCTTTTCTGTCTTCTCTCACGGCCTCATTTGGCCTCAGCTTTCTGTCATAATAAGCTGCCAAATGTATATCTCTAGTCAGATTATTCCCCCAAGTCCTTTCTTCATAAATCCAACTGTCTACTTGGATTTCTTACAGGTATCAAGGTGCCACCTGAATGTTTAACAGACACATTACTCTCAAGAATTTTGAATCTTTATAGAAAATTCAAACTATACAATTTGATTGTTAGGTGAATAATGGAATAGCCATTTTTGTTAGTTTCTTACTGATTGGAAAAGTAATACATGATCTTTATAGATTATTCAAAATTCAAAGATGGCAATTCCATCTTTGCAATTCTCAAGCCAAAAATTCTCGAGTGGTTGTCAATGCCTCCCTTTCTCTTGTCTTTCAGATCTTGTTCATTGTAAGTGCTATTCTGTCTACTTCCGTGTGTAACTAGAAGCAGTCCACTTCTGACGGTCTCAGTGTTAGTAACTCATCTGAGCAACCCTCATAGCTTCCTAACTGGCCATCAAGCCCTTGTCCTTTCCTCCCACCGCAGGATCACCTAACCTCAGCACTACTGAAATTTGGGGCTGGAAAACTCCTCGCTGGGAAGGGCCACCTTGCCCTCTGTAGAAGGCGCAGCAGCATCCCAGCCTCTACGGGATAAAGGGACAAACCCCAGTAGCACAAAGTACTCACCCCGAAGTTGTAATAAGCAAAATGTCTTCAAGTACTGAGGCACAAAGTGACTTCCCCTTTGGAAACTATTGCCCAAGCAGTGTAGTCTCCATTTAGCCACAGAATGATACTTTGTAACATAATCATATAATGCCTCTGCCCCAATTGATAAGATTTTCATCTCACAAAAGAGAGAGAGAGAGAAGGGAAGGAGGGAAGAAGGGAGGGAGGGAGGCAGACAGGCCTCACCACAGCCTGGTCTCTCTACGACCTGCCAGCCCCTCCCTCCTTTGCTGCTTGAGCTCAACCTCACCACCTACTTCCCACCCTTCTCACTCTGCTCCAGTCAACTTGCCTCCTTGCTGCTCCTCAGCTCCACCAGGAAAGCCTGATATCCCTCGGGGCTTACTCCTTCATCCCCTTAAGTTCTTCACTCACAAGCCACCTTCCCATACTTGTCTGTTTGTTTGTTCGTTTTGAGACAGTCTTACTCTGTCTTCTAGGCTACAGTATGGTAGCATCAGAGTTCACAGCAACCTTAAACTCCTAGGCTCAAGCTATCCTCTTGCCTCAGCCTCCCGAGTACATGGGACTACAGGTGCCATCATGCCTGGCTAATTTTTCTTTCTTTATTTTCTTTTCTTTGTTTTCTTTCTTTGCTTCCTTCCTTCCTTCCTTCTATTCTTTCTTTCTTTTGCCTTGCTCTTGCTCTTGCTGAGGCTGAGCTTTAACTCCTGCACTCAGGCAATCCACCTGCCTCTGCCTCCCAGAGTGCTAGGATTGTAGGCGTGAGCCATCACTGCACCTGGTCCATGGGTGTCCATTTAAAGAACTCAGCCCCCTTCCCATGCCCCCTCAGTCCCACACACTTTTAATGGCACTTATCTGTATGCTGAGATAGATGACAGCATTGTATAGATGCTATCAATGTTGCTATGTCTCTATCTGATAGAATGGCAGCCCCACCAGGGAGGAGATTTTGCCTTTTTAACTCACTGCTGTTTCTGCTTCACACGCCTGTGGTAGGCATTCAGCACGTGCTTATAGAATAAATGTCAGAAGGCAGAAAGAGTAAAATCGGTCTTGAAAGCATCTTAGATAGATCTGAATAATCAAGGCAGTTTCATGTAGGGGTATCTAGGATGCATCTACATGCATCACTAACAAAGACTAAATTGGTTTCCACAGCACTGGTTTAAAATATAATTCATTATGTACATTGGGAGGTAAGGATTCGTCAAAGTATGTCTATGCTTAGGAATTTTGGTAGAGGGTATTTAGAAAATATATTTATAAATACATTATCATATAGATATAAGTATGTATAGATATATAAAATAAGTGTAATTTTAAGAGAAATTTTACAAAGCAACATGGGTCTAGATATATAAAAAGAACTATTCTGGGACAAGTCAAATGTTCAATTGTGCATACCATCAGGTAACTTAGCAAGTAACAGCAATGATGAACAAAGTTATTTTGTATAGATGAAAGCCTTCATGGTTCAACTGTGAGTGAAACAGAGGAACAGAGAAGCTTCTGCTGAAAGCTGACAGCTCCATGGGACCCCCTGAAGTTGTAGTTACTCTGCTAGTTACTGGTCTGAATGGGACAGAGGAAGATGCACATTGTACTTCTCTTGCCAAACCTGCAATATAACCACTGGTGAATGTCACATTAGCGTCAAGCCAGGAAGTTCCGGCTAATTCTACTTGGAGTAGATAGCAGTGTCATCTTCTGTGCCACTAAGTTAAGGTATTCCTTTCTGCCTTGGGTGACTACAAGGGAGATTTCAGTGTAATGCACTTTGTAGGGAAGTTGATGAAGAGGGGCAAACAGAACAAAACAAAATATCGATCCTCTTTGACATAAAATTTTGCCTATGGATTCTAAAAGCACATGTTTCAAAAAGACCTCAGAATTCTGCAACATCACTCCTAAAAACTACGTGACAGATCCATTGATGACCACATCAGCTATTCTACCAGTTTTCTTAACTAACTGCTCATTGTAAGACCAATAAAGCCACACAGCAGGCAGGTACTTTAATGAAATAGGTCCAGTCCTCCAGGGAGGAGAACTTGTGGTTCAAACAGCACCACTTTTGATCAAGTAAGCACTTTATTCTTGCCGATTGCAAATATCTTTTATGTGGAAACTGATCAAAAATGCTCTTGGGAAGGATAAGGGATCAGAAAGGATGAGGGGGAAACAAACGACTGTTGTGATATAATGTTGTGAAATAGGTTTTCTAAGAAGGAAAATAACGTCACCATTTCTAAAGTCACGGTTCACTCCCTGGCAAGACTGGCAGCCTCATTCAAATTCAGACCACAAGTTAATTCATTGATGCCTTTGACAACATTTATTATACACCTTCTCTTTGTAAAAGGAAGAAATATTAAAACATATACAACCTCCATTATTACCAAGATTTTCTTCTCTCTTTAGTTTTGTTTGCTATAACTACATACTAGAAATACGACTGAACACAGATGATCTAAGGGATAGCTAATATATTGAAGCTTAACATCGGAAAGTTTCAAAAGAAAGAAATTGACAGATGCCTTCTCCACGTAAGGTACTAATGGTTTTGGGAGTCATTAAGACCTAATTTAAAATCTTACCTTCTTCACTTACTGGCTCTTTAGAACAAATGGAACCCCCCCCTCCCGGGTCTCAATCCCCTCATACAGAAAATGTTCCACCTGTTACCTGTTGGTAACCTGTTATTAAATGTGATGTTGGCAAGCACACCTCCATAGTACATATTAAACAAATTATAGCTATTTAAGCTTTGGAATCCTAAATAACATAATGCCTTTATTAATTCTCATGGACATTCATTGGCAAAACTCCAGAAATACTACTACATCTTTATTTCACCTCCTCAAAAAATTATTTTTCATGCTTATCTTCTCTAAAAATATAAACTTGGGAATTTTTCACACTTCTGAATGTCTCAAATAAATGTGTGAAGAAGAAATTCCATCTTCAAGGAGCCCCTCCAATAAAATAGCAAAGAAAATTCTTACCTAGTTTTGGCAAGGAATAGGGTACTTTAAAGTAGTCTTCATAGAACTCTATGAGTCTCTTTGTTATGTGGAGAGCATAGTCCCCGGACCCTCTTCGGATAGCATCGGGTCTCGCATACAACCGTACCTAATTAAAAATATATATAAAAGTTACTTTTAGCCTTTTGGTACCATGGTTTTAGCTTCCCTGCAAATATGAATCTATACAAATCACTGTGGACAGTACAAAAATTAAACAGAACCCTTGTTGATACTTGTATATCAAAGCACGCTGTGGTGGGAAAGAGCCAAACTTGAGCAATTGTAGTAATTGAAGTAACCAAGTTGAGCGGGTCACAATTTCCTTGCTTTACAGGATGACATAGAGAAGATTTCTACACGTTGCATCAAAATAAATATTCACCGTTATCACTTACATGTGCTTGCTCGAGATAGGAAGGCATGGTGGATTAGGGCGACGTGTCTCTGACTCTGCTGAGAGCAGGCAAGCTGCGGCTGCTCAGCAGGACAGAAAACTCGTGGTCTGTTAAAGACACATTGTATCAAGCTTTGGAAGTGCTACCAGCCTGAGAAAATATATACATGTATATAATTTATGTTTCCTTCTTCTCTGTGGAATCAACTGTCTTTATTCCCAATATACAAAGTAGGGATAGAAAATCTTCCATGTTCAGAAACAATCTCCATTCTGGAAGGCCGTCTGCAACTGCTCCCAGCTTCAAACCCAGTGGAAGTAACTCATATTTTGAACACAATCCGGATACTTGATATTGATTTTTAAAACAAGGATCATATATTATCTAGTCCTTGGACAAAAAAAAAAAAGGAAGGAAGGAAGGAAGGAGAAAGAAATGAAGGAAGGAAGGAAGGAAGGAAGGAAGGAAGGAAGGAAGCAAGGAAGGAAGGAAGGGAGGGAAAGGAAAGAGAAAAGCCTAAAGCAAATAACACAAAACTGAACAAAACTAGCAATTGTATAGAAAAGGTTAAAATGAGATTAGTTTTCATAAAGCTTTCATAAAGCTATCCAGCATCTTTATTTCCAAAGGCTAAATCTATTTTTCACAGATGTGGTCCCTAATCCTCACATCAATTCTGTGAATAAGAAATACGCATTTTGTGGAGCAGTAGAAATCACAGTGGCCTGGGAGTTGGATTTTAGTTCTACTCTGCCACTAACCAAGCTAGATGATATTGAACAAATTACTTAACCTCTTTGGGTCTCAAATGTTTTCATTTATAAAATGAATGTGTTAGCCACCAGCTGGTTGCTAAAGTGCTTTTCAGTTCTAAAACACATTACTTCCAATCCCATTTTACAGATAAGGGAGTTTGTATCCTTTTTAAATGACTAGAAAAATAAATGGTTTACTCAGTAGATAGAAATGGATATTTACATTCAACAGTAAAACAAAAGAAATTTGTACTCAATCATAATATAAAAAAATTGATGATACAATTAACTCTTTATCATCTGTGCCCAAGGAGGGAGAATACAGATAGGTATAATCCAAAAAAAGTAGAAAGTCAAGGAAAATACATCTGGACTTTATTTTAGAAAGACCTGTGATCCACACGTATTTACTAAATTCAATAATAATTATTTACTGAAATTGTGACGCTACTTTCCTCCCAACAACTAACTCAAATGCCAAGTTCAGTTCCTTGTCACTCGTGTTTTTGGGTGGCAGTAATAGAAACCGAAAACCCTCAGCAGAGACAGCTGCTCCTGGCCCAGCTGACACTCTCACAGCGGCAGCAACGTGGGCCCCTGGGCCCTGACATCAACCATTAGTAAAGGCGCAGTGTCTCAGGTACATTCCCCAAGGAGCATCCCCCTGAGAAAAAGATGAGTGAACAAGGAATTTAACAAGCACTCTGAGGAGACACTTAGAAGGAAGTGGGAGAAGCAGGACCGGGGGACAACAGGCCAAGCCGGGGTGTGATTTCAGGAGTCCTGGACACAGTCTGAGCCTGACACACCAGGCGCTCTGGGGGTGAATTACACCGGTGGGTGTGCACTGGCTTAGGCCAAGACAACCAGCCTTCCACACCGTCACTGGCAACTGATTACCAAGGGGAGATCATAAAGTCCGAGGTACTTCTGGTTCTTGGTGCATCTGGGTGACTCAGGTCCCATGGCCCAAGGATAATCCTCTGGAGAGGAATAAGGTCTGGCCTTTTAGGATCAAAGCTGTGGGAACCAGGGGACAAGCACACCGAACAGGGAAGGGAATCTAGTCTGTGCACCAACAGCATCCACCAGAGACTGTCATCATTCCTGCGGCATTCATTCATTCAACAAATGTTTAGTTGCCGTCTGCTTTGTACCAGCGCTTGGACTAAGCATTCTTAACTAAAGAAGAAGACATATTCTCCAACCGAGGGAAGTACAGGGAAGCTGTGAAGATGTAATCGCCATTCTCCAAGAGCTTCTCATTGATTAGGTACGTTAGATAATGACAACGGATCATGATATATGACGTATGAATGATAAAATACGAATGTCAAATGGACACTGAGGAAGATGGATAGCTTTCTGAAATTTCCAGGAGAAGTAACTAGTAAATTCAGGCTCCAACCATAACCAGCACTACTACCCAATGATGCAGAAAAGTTCACTGATTATACACTTAGCATCATTAATTTTGGTTGAAACAGTCATTCCTATCAATCAAGTCGACTAGTCAAGCTGTCTGCAGGCCCAGGCGAGAGAAACAGGATTAAATCAATCTGGTGGTCAAGATCTGATGAAACTGGTCCAATCTGAGGGAGAAGATGAAATTACACATGCTTAGCCCAGGGTCTTCATCTGCTCGTTCAAACATTTATCACACACCTGCTGTGTGCCAGGCATTGTACTGGGGAATAGAAACAGAACAATAAAATTCCCACCACAAGATGAATGAGACTTTTATACTTACTGCTCTTAAAAGGCTTATAATATGTGGAAAACAAACAAATAAATCAGCAACAAAAATACAATGTGAGGAATATAGTAGTGGGCTCTGCTTTCCCTGTTACAAAGCATGAGCCCACTCAGCTGCTGGCCAAGACTCAGCCCTCCACATTCTATCCTCTTGCCTTTTCAAAGTCATCATTTCCCCAAATTCTCACCTGTATCTCCCACATCAGCAACTTATGCTTCCATAATGGATCATTCTCATCAGTAAACAATAATCTATTTGTCCTATGTTTTTAAAAAGTCTTTTTTTGGCCACAATTCCTACAAGTATGGTTTTTAGCCAGGCTCCTTGAGTCAGGATGAACATGTAAGTTAACATCCAAACTGGAACACTTTTGAGAATAAAAGGCAGCACTTAGAACCTGACATGACAGCTGCAGGTAGGGTGTACATGCTCCCGCCTTCCAGTCTCACTCCAAGTCACTGCAACAAAGTGAGTTTGTTCATCCCCACTACTCTGCCAAAGCTGTTCTCATCGAGACCACTATTAGCCCCACGAGCTCAAATCCCGTGGGGAGTTCTTACTCCTCACCATGCTTAACCTCTTAAGGCATTTTGATAATTGATTGTTTTCTCTCTTTGGAACACATGTATTCATTCATTCATTTAGAGATCGGGTCTTGTTCTGTTACCCATGCTGCAGTTCACCAGTGCAATCACACCTCACAGCAACCTCAAGCTCCTGGGCTCAAGCAATACTCCAGCCTCAGCCTCTTGAGTCGCTGGAACTATGGACACACTCCACCACTCCTGGCTAATTTCTTTTTTATTTTTTGTAGACACAGAGTCTCACTATGTTGCCCGTGCTGATCTCAAACTCTGGGGCTCAAGTAATCCTTTTGCCTTGGCCTCCCAAAGTGTTGGGATTACAGGTGTGAGCCAAACACTTGTCCAGAAACACTTTTCACCTGGCTTCTCTCACTTTTCCTTCCTCCCATGGACTCTGCCTTCTCACTCTCCTGGCTGATTCCTCCCTATCCTTATCCCCCACATTTTGAAGGGTTCCAGGTTTATCTAGAGACTTCTTCACTTTCTATCTATACTCAGTCCCTTGGTACTAATACCTAGTCCCATGGTCTCAAATATCATTTAGTTGACAAAAATTCACCCATTAATTCCAGACTTAGTCCAACTCCCCACCTGGCATCTCCATCTGGGTATCTAATAGCATCTCAAACTTAACATGTCTAAAACCAAACTCCTGACACGCCCACCACACGCACACGCACACGCGCACACACACACACACACAACCGCTCCTCCTGAAATGCTTCCCGTCTCAGTTACTTGCAGCTCTCGGCTCGGGTCCAGGCCTAAGGGCTCAGCATCCTTCTTTGCCCTCTTTCTCTCACACTTCATGTTCACTTGGTCAGCAAATCTTATTGACTCTATCTTAAAAACGTATCTGAAATCCAATCACTTCTCACACCCAGACACCACCACTGCTGCTCTAAGCGCCTTCCACTCTTTCCCTGGAGAAGGGTCTGCCTCATCTGCTCCCGGCTGCTGCCTCATCTGCTCCCTCCAGGCTGTCGTCCACACAGCAGCCAAACCTCTCCTGTTAAGATGGGCATCCTGTCACTCACTCCTCCACTTTTCTTTCTCATTCACAGTAAAAGGCCAAGTTTTACAGGGCCTAGAAATCTATAGCCCTTTAGCTCTCTGGCTTCATTTCCCACTATTCTGATCCATGCTAACAGGAATTCATTCGTACACTGTTTCCCACACCATTCCTCAGACATGCCTGAGAGATTCTCCATCAAGGTTTTTTAGTTTTTCCCTAATATCTCCCTGACTCATTCCTCCACCCTCTTTAGGAATTTGTCTGAATATCTCAAATTCTGCGAAGCCATCCCTCCTGCCCAAGGGCTCCCTACCTCCCTTCTTTGATTTATCATTTCCTAAAATGCTTGTCACCATTTAGCAAAATACAGGGTGGCCATAAAGTTTCTGTGCAACTTAAAATCGCACACAATCTTTATGGAAACCTTGTATAGGTTTTATTTACTCATTTTGATTTTTGCTGCCTTCTTCCAAGAAAAAGCATTGTATGAGGGCACAGATTTTTCACCTATTAGATCCAACCTTGTAAAAGTACCATTTTTGTGAGTCAAAATATCTTGCTCAATTTGCCTCCCAAGGGCCTCGTACATAAAACTTTGACA